CCCGGGCACCCGCGGGGCGCGTACCCCGACCCTGCCCCGCCCGGGGCACCGCACTAGCCGCCGGGTCACCAGCCACCCCGCCGCGGTCGCCGCCAGCGCGTTCAACAGCTGGAGGCAAAGTTGCGCCTATCGGAGGACGCCCCCAACCTCGACCTGCCTCCCCCGGGTGCGCCCCTTGCCACTCGCGCTCTGCGTGGGAGTCCCGCAGGCTCAACTGCTGGCCAGCCCTGGGGTGAGGGGCAGTATGTTCCCATTTTACAGGCGCGACAGCTGAGGCTGACGTGCGAAGTGACTGCCCCAAGGTTACTCAGCTCAGTGAGCTTCGCTTTGGTTCAGTCTTCCTAATCCCATCCCCTGGAGGATGCTGAGTGGGATGCTGGGTTCTGTGCCCAGCCCCACCCCCAAGAGAAACTTCCGGAGGCTTTGAGGCTTTCCTGCCCCTGTCCAAGCTCCCCTCCCACCACCCTCACACACACCTGCTCCACCTGCAGAGGGGGCTCCAGTGAGCAGCTCTGAGCCTGGAGCAGCTGGTGAAGAGTCTGGTCTGGTGTCTGGCGCCTCCTCCAGCTGCTGTGACCCGCAGCCCTAGACAGTTGAGCTCTGCGGTCCTCAAGCTTTGTGCTTCGCAATCACTTTTACCGGGCACAGTTGAGCCCCAGCTGCAGGAACTTCTAACGAGGGCATTTCACCCAGGCCTGGGCTGGGTCTGGACGTCTGAATAGGAGTCAGCTGAAGGCAGTGGAGAAGGGTGTCCCAGGCTGCGGGAACAACATGTGCAAAGTCACAGAGGCAGATAGCACCCACCCCCACCCCCCACCCCTCACCCCCGTGTAAGAGTGCAGGGGAACGCACGGAGTTGAGTATCACTAGAGAGAAGGGCTGTTCAGAACCGCTTGTCTTTCGTCATCTGAGGGCAGGAAAGCGACCTAGAATGGGACTGGGAAGGTAGACAAGCACTGGGACGCAGGCCACCTGTTAGCTGGAGGGATGGATGTGTCACCTCTGCCCTCCAATCCTACACCTCTGGCTGCCTGGCACTCTCCTACCTACCCTTGAACGCCCCTCCTTGAGGACCCAGACAAGCTCTTATGCTGTCTCCGCCTAGAGGGAAGGCGAGGAAGACAGCTCCTAGTCCCCCGGGGGAGGCTGGGCGTGCAGCGGGGTCCAGCTCCAGCAGCGCCCTCCGGAACATCATCCCCGTCAAACCAAGAGACAGCGGCCCATGCGCCTTCTGGCGGACCTGGTGTGCAACTGCAGAAAACGCCTGGCCTCCAGCGTGCTCAGAGGTGGGCACTGGCAGAGGTCTACTTTTACTCGGCTCCCCGCCCAAGAAACTGAGCACCCCAGGAGTACCAGGCATCAAACGGCAAAATAGCCTCTCTGGTTCCATCTGTATGAGTTTCCATCTGCTAGAGTGTCTGCAACCCCCACCCCCAGCCTTAGCTTCCTCCTGTAGGAAAGGAGGACAGTAAAACGTCCAGTCCCAAGGGCAATGCCAGTGTTCCTGGCAGGAACACTCCCTTCTCCCAAAGGGCCCACAAGGCTGGCCAGACTCACTCTGAGGTGGTTTTGAGCTCTCACTCTTCCGACATCCCATCCTTGGAGACTGGCCCTTGCAGGGCAGAGGTAAACTACCAAGTGTTTAGGTCTCTCAGCTCCATCACTGTATCACACAAGACCATGGGGTTTGGCCTAGGCTGGGGGTCATTGTGGACCACACCATCTGGATTCTTTATTGGGCTTTCTCCACACCAGCACTGTCCAGTAGCGCTTTCTGCCAGGTGAAAATGATTTAAGGAGTGCTAACTTCATGTGGTTGCTATGTGGTTAACTCATGCCTGATGCAATTGCAGAACACCACTGATCCTTTTTATTTTGATTGATTTAAATAGCCACATGTGGCTTGTGGCTACCATGTTAGTACAGATTCAGAAGCACAGGGACCAGTTGACTAAGAGGGCTAAATGCCACACACACACAGGATCCTGAGCACCCCCACCAGGACATGATGGCAGGGCGAGACAAAGGCAGGCAACAGCACGTCCTATGTCAAGGCCAGGCCTTAGTCTCCTGTAACAACCTTCTCCTCCTCACACATCTGTTTAAACCCTCAGTGGTGGCCACCACAGCAATGCCAAGTGATTGATAGCAGCTGCCTAAGTGCTCACCCTGCATAAAGTATCTTGATCGACTGGTGATGTCTGCCTCGGGTGTAGACGGAAAGGCATATGCTAAGTCCTCTTGGTGAGAGAATAAAATCCAAACTCCCCACCTTGCCCACGTAGGCCCTTTGCAGTCACCCTCACTTACCCAGGCAGCATCTCTCCTACCCCACGTGGACTGTAGGAGCCAGCAACACCGAAGCCTCCTTCCCAGAACATGCTGTATAGATCTCTCATCCGACTTTGTCATTTGCCCGAGGGGACTCTCCTCCCTTCAGAAGCCTTCCCCACCTGATACTTCCAGTCCATGTAGCATCAGGTGCTATTCCAGGGCCACCTCCCCCAGGAAGCCTCCCCCGACTACCTGCAGCTGTACAGGCTGCATCACTCCTTCCTTCCCTGACTCCCAGGACTTTCTGTGGAGGCCACAGTGACAGCACGCACTGTCTGTTACTTGATCACTTCTATCAAGGAGCTCAGGCTCTTTTCATAGATTACTCTCATTAACAGACTGCAAAAGTAGGTGTCAAAGGCTTTTGTTTGGAGCAACCAGCCTCCATCTCTTTCCCCGCCAACACTCCAATTTCTTCTTTTCCTGGGCAGTCTTAGTGTGATGTGAATCAACGCCCCGCCCCCCAGCTGGGCTAATTGCTCACAGGTGGAGTGATATATGGGCAGACAGCATAGGGGTATCAGTATTATCCTAGACCCCCAGTGCCTGATGATGACAGGGGTGAGCATATCAAGCTGCCTGGAGCCCAGCCCTCCATCCCAGTCCTCCAACCGCCTTGGGATCTTCCCATGCTGCTGAGTGGCCGCAACAGCCCATCAGCAAATGTCCTTCAGTCCTGAGTTTGCCAAATGTGGCTCACATCCAAAAGACCTCATGGCCTGGTCATGTCACTGTGAGGACATTTTATTTTTCCGAATGTCTTTTCTTCCTTGGGGCCTGAAGATCAGTGGAAAGGAAAGGAGCCTGGAAGTGCTGACCGCTGTGTGCATAGAGAACAAGATGAACCCTTCAGAATGAGGTGCAGTGATACTTTTAAAGAACACACATTCACAGGTGTATGTACAAGTTGCCACAGTTCTGAGAGGTGCAGAGTCTAGAAGGCGCATATGCGTTTAGGAGGCTGCCCACCCCTTGCAGGGCATGGATCTTCCCTACCCACCAAGAGGCATGGAGGAGGAAGAGCAGGCTGTGGGGGACAGAGATGCCTTCTCAAACAGGGTCCTCAGATCTGAGTTGTCTGGTTTTCCTGGACACTATGATAGGTCTAGGAAGCAAGGCTGAGGGCCACGTTGAGACGCATTGAACCTGGGTGTGGGGACGGTCACTAGAAGGGGGACTAAACCGTTGGTCAGGAAGAAGAGGATGGGATGAGAAGCCTGAGGGAGGCCCAGCCCTGAAAAACCGTCCCAGAGGACGTGTGCACATACACACATCTCTAAAAGGGTTTTTCTGTGACTTCCATCTGTAGAGTGAGCGAGCTGAGGTCCCTCCCACTACTTCCGCCTCCCCTACCACCTTCCCTGCCCTGCTTCCTTGAGGAAAAGCTGCCTGTTTACCATATTCGTCATTTATTGTTGTGTGATGAATTACCTTCCAACCAGGTAGCTGAAATCAGCAAAAACAAAAGCCATAAAAACAAGTTTATGATTCAGGTTCAGGGTCCAGAGTGGGAGGTGGGGATGTGTCTTCATAAGACTCTCCCCACCCTCTGAAGCTTGGCCAGGGCAGAAGGCTAGCTTTAAGAAGCTGGCTCCTGGCCGGGTGTGGTGGCGCATGCCTTTAATCCCAGCACTCGGGAGGCAGAGGCAGGCGGATCGCTGTGAGTTCAAGGCCAGCCTGGTCTACATCGTGAGTTCCAGGGTTACAGGGAGACCCTGTCTCAAAAAGACCAAAAAAACAAAAACACCACCAAAAAAAAAAAACAACCAAGAAACTGCCTCCTAAGGCTGGAGAGATGGCTCAGTGGTTAAGAACACTGGCTACTCTTGCAGAGGACTGGGGTTCAATTCCTAGCACCTACATGGTGCCTAACAACCCTCTGTAACTCCAGTTCCAGGGGAATCTAACCTTCGAGGGCACTGCACTACACGGGTGTACATATGTACATGCAGGCAATACTCATACACATAAAATAAAAATAGTAAATAATTTTTTTTAAAGATGCTGGTTCCTGTGGCTAACACATTCATGCAGGTTGTCAGTGGTGGGAGGCCTCAGTCCCTTGTCCCATAGGAAGGCCCATAGCACTGTAACTGTTTCCCCCACAGGGAAACCAAGGCAGAGGCCACAACGGCTTTCATTACCTACCCCCAGATGTCACCACGGTCAAGGCTGCCATTTACTTCCTCAGGGCCACACAGGCCCCTATCTGTGGTAGGGTCCTCTACACAGGGTGAAGCTCCAGGAGAAAGGTCTCATAAGTTCCTTATAAAGCTAACAAGAGTGAAAGTTACCAGGGATATGGCCCCAAAGGAAAGAGGACAGTGACATACTCTGACCTGTCTGGGAGGGGGCCCTTGAACTTATAGAGCCGGTTATAGTAAAACAGGGGGTATAGACAGCACCTGTTTTCTTAGCTTGAGACGGGGGGTAACTGAATGGCAAGGTTGCCAG